TGCGGGGGGCCCCCGCTGCCCCTGCATCCAGCCAGTGGCAGGGCTGAACGTGGGATCCCAGCAGGCACACGCGTACCCCACCATCCATGGCGGTGGCAGGGAGATGCACCCAGCGCTCATGCAAACCCAAACAGCACCCATGGCCTCATCCTGCTCACCTCTCCAGCAGGTCAAGGTGAACTTGTGCCAGGGGGATGTATGTGTATGGGGTGTGTCCCTCTGGCAGCCCAGCTCTGCCACTGCCCAGCAGCTGCCCCTGGCCACTGTCACCTGGGCACAGGTGGCACCTGTGTCCCACCCCAGGTGCTGCACCTGCAGGCATGCACACGTGCACACACCCCCCCCCCCTCCCCAGACATATGTGCGAGAGCCCTCACCGAGGCAGGAGTGAGGAAGGGAATGGGTGAGAGGACAGGACAGACTGCACTCGTCGGTGCAGGGCATGGCCAGACCTGCATCGGGACCAGCCAGCTGCTGGTAGGCACCAGCCCTTCTCCTTTCCTCATCTCTCTCCTTCTCCCAGCGTTTCCTTCCCAGCAGCCCAGATCCTGGCCTTTCCCCCCACTTGCTTCTCCTCACACAATCCCAGAATGTCCCCCAGTGTCCTGCACCCACAGGCAGGAACCCTGCTGTCCCCAGGCTGTGCCAGTGTTGGGTGCCCCCCTGGGGGGCTGAGACTCCCTTGGGACAGCATCCCTTTTCCCCCCACTGCATGCCAGTGCCTCTGCCCCACTATGGGTGTGGGGCAGCCCTGGACCCCCCTCACCTGGGAAGCCCCCATGGGGACAGACTTGGGGACCAAAGGGGCAGGATCAGTCCCGGAGGTGCAGGCTGGTGAGCCCTGCTCTGCTGCCAAGTCTGCCCATCGCCATGTCACCCCGGATGCCAGTGGTGGGGGACAGCCTGCCCTGGCACTGGGGTATGCGGCAGTGCAGGAGGGGTTGGGGACAGGGCATGCGTCTCTGGGGAAGGAGATGAGCAAAAGGTCAATGACCCACTTTAAAAAAATAAATAACAGCAAGCAGGTCCCTCCTGTTGCTGCCAAGGACCCGACAGTCCCCGAGGGAGCCTGGTACAACCCGGCGTGGGTGTGGGGCGATGGTCCCACAGGCGCCTGGGCACAGAGCCCCGATTTTGTTTGTGTCAAACAGGCCGGGGGGTGGG